TGCAACATCTTCCAGAACGAGCCAGAGCTGAGATCTCCACCCGTTCTCGCTTTTGATAGCCTGTACACCTCATAAGCTGTCCGTTTTTTTTTTGTGCGAAGGAAAAATCTCACCTCATCATCTCATGTTCAGGCTGTGTACCAAAGGGCAGCTCTGGTTGTTCAAACCACTCCATTTTGTCTTGTTTGATCCGCCACGCTAGATAGTCAACCTAGAGCACAAATGTAGTTATCGGGAATCATGATTAACTTTTATAGCTCACCACAAATCCTTCCACTTGAAGCCTTGGGTCTTCGAAATCTGGCGCATCGTTGGCTGATTCACTCATCATTTACCTATAATATTTATTTTCTATTCTATTACACGTACACAAACAATTCACTCGGTACCGGCGACATAACGACGAAAGATAATCGACTACTACATTGCAAATATGACTAATCTCTCGTATACGAGAACCGGAAGAAGCTCACAAGACAAACTCTACGATAGTAATATGCTCTTTACAACGGAACAATCGACACAATCAATGAGGAAAGAAGATTGATAGAGATGGAAGTGATTATAGAGCAACACTTTTCACACTCAGTGGTGCTTCTCCCCATGCTTGTGAGCTGGCCAAGCATTAATCACCACTGCTGCTGCGATGATGAACGACAAAGCCAGCACCAAATAGCCGCTCTTGTAGATCTGCAAATGATAATGATGAAAACCACTGAACAATCATTTCTGTTAACGCCATGCCTATTTCTATTCATGGAGCCAATTGTACACAGTTCGTGCCACATCCATCTACGGGATTATAACAGAAAACACTGCGGTCTAAAGTTGGACAGCATTTAGACTTCGCGGTAACGCTCGTCGACGCGCTACAATTGCAACAGTGCTCCAGTGCTATAGACGCGAACGCAGCCGCAGACGGGAACCGATCGGCGCTGGCCGCTTGTCTTTTGAGAGAGTACAGGATAACAGAAGTGCAGGGTAGCGGGGTTATGTGACATCTCGTACTTTGGTGCATGGTCCTGTTGCGAAACCAAGAAACGCAGACATAAAAAAGACAGTGCTAAAGCATCGAGACGTGAAAGAAACAATGGCGAGCCAAGAAACGACCTTTTTAAGGGGAGTGGGCTCCGGGGTAAGGAAGCCACTTATCATACGTGAAAAGCTGGAATGTGCGAAGTCACAATGACCATAGAGTGCCACGCGGACGAGAGAGAGCAGAGAAAAACAAAAATTCGACGCGTCCAAAGGCATTGAGTTCAAGATGTCCGTAGACCCAGGCGCGGATTTCACACAATCTGGTACCCTGTGCTCTATCCTAGCAGTCGGTGCCAATCGATATCAGACTGCGTGACCAGAGTTCAGACTCGCGCAGCATCTCGTTCGCCCATACTCTCTCAATACGCGAGCGGCATTCGCCAATGGATACCCGTCTGCGGCTGCGTTCGCTTGGAGAGCCACTTTAATTGTAGCGCCTCGGATGGAGATGTCAGAAAGAATTCAGGTAATACATTTCGCTGTCATTTTGTCAAAAGAAAGACCTCACCGCTGCCGTGTTATCCACTCCCTTCGCCAAATCGAATCCGAGGAATCGAATTCCGTTGAGCGTATGGAAGACGATAGGAAAAGCAATCACAAACTGAATAAAGTTCGATATCAATAAAAAAGGAACTAAATGAGTAAAGCCTTAGCTTGACCCAATTATTAATGTGTAAAATGCGAAAAAACAAACCTTAAAAGCAGAAGTGATCACTGGTGGAATGTTCCAGCTACGAATGTAATCCACAAACTGGGTGAAGTTGAACGGTAGCAAAGCAAATCCAACACCTTCAAATGAAACTATCCCACTTACTACTTTCACTAACTTCAAAGTGAAATGAAACTATGAAATTTGAGAACATCCAGGCGATCTCCCTTTATAACTATATTTTTGTTCTTGGGTATTAGTTGAAAATACTGATAACTGCTGAATAGTAGCAGTTTTTCCCATGACGGTACAAGAGTCATGTAAGAAAAAAATCAGTCAAACAAACCTCCGAATAGCAGCACGCCAGCCATCGCGCATCCCGTTACACGGTGGAAGCCAGAAACCTGAAAATCATTACTTTGCAAATCTAAAAATGTAGGCCTTCTGTTTCTAACTCTGGTACAACGGAAAGCCAGGCAAAATTGAAAATAATAATAAAAGGGAATAAGCAGCAATTATGGCGAACCAAGGAAAGTGGGCGCTGAGGCAGCGGTTGGAGAGCTCGCCAGCGCCTCCGTACTTCACCCTAAGCGAGGCTTAAGCTCAGCGAAAACCATGTCTTCTCTTCGGGACTGTCTCGCTGTGACTCTTGTCGTCTGTGGTCCCAGCCTGACCTTTCGGTGGGAAGGGGTAGAGGCGCGGCCAACTGATCCCTCCTCAGTTCCTCCCCCCCCCCCTCCCCACATACGCTAGCGCCGAGAAAACATTTCTCGAAGGTTCTTCGCGTGAGCGAGCAGTTCCGCATGAAATGCGAATATTTCCGCGGTCCTTCTTACACACGGTCTGTGGCATAACTTGAACAAAGAAAAATACTTACCGCCCAGGTAAGCTGGGGCTTATAAACGGTGAGATGTGGAGCAATGGGGCGTCCGAGAGCTTTCTGGCGCTGCAGATACGCCCATCCCCATTCTTGAATCGGTGTCTTAACAGCAGGTCGAGACATCGTGCTGGCGATCAGTCGCGATGCCATTAGCTGACGTGGAGTCACACGGCAAAGAACTTTGCCCATCAACATTGTTAATCTATAGAAAAATAAGCATTGATCGAGGGCAACTAGTAGCTTTTTCTGGTTTGTGATCGGATGAAGAGTACCCACGGTAATCGAGAAATTCTTAAAAGAAGGCAAAGAAAAGTTAAACAAGGATCACCTCACACAACACTATAAAGTGGAAAACTGTTCTGATAAGGCCGGAAACAACGTCATTATCAATTGATATAGAAATTTTACGAATTTAAAGCCACGCTCATACCTAGCAAGTGGAAGAATTCAACACCGCGACTCGAGAATCGCGAGAAAAGGACTGAGTGCCATCTATAGCTGATCGCTGGACCCCTGCAACTGCCACTGCGATCCCATTTTAAAGGTTCTTCTGAGCGTTCGCAGCAGTCCAGCGATCAGAGGTGGAGCACTATTGGGTCGCAGTCGCGAAGTTTGAATGCAACGTAGGAGAT